AAACTGCCTTCGCGCGAGGCCCTATGCTCTGAGTGACTTTGTCTGTGGCATCAAGAATTGGGAGGGCGTCGGGCAGCAGCGACCGCTGCATACAAACCAATTAGTAATCAATGACGCAAGTTTAGAGGTGACTAGGCAAGGCCTTGTATGCTGGCGCCCGATCGGTACATTGATTGACTGAGTTCTCATCCGAGACCTGGGCTTCAATTAATTCTCCAATTTTCCTGACTGTGGCGTGCGTGATTGCATTGACGACTACGAATTTGAACGCATGGCCCGCTTCGTAGACACAGGGTGTACCTTCTATAACTGTGGCTCGTTCTATTGCTGTTGGTGCTGCTGCCATCTCTGACGATGGACTCCTGCGCCAGGTCTAAACCTCGAAATAATAATCATAATAAGCCCTTCCGATCTCCGAGCAAACGGCTTTTTTTATTCGTAAAGGCACCTGGAAGTCGAAAATTCGCATCAATTCAGGGATGGACCCGTCCCGTCTAAACCCCATCGTCCTGAGCATGTACTTGCTCAAACATATGGCTAATAACATGATTGATAGCAAACAGCTTATCTGTCAAAGAAATCAGTGAATTAACTCCAATCTACTTAGACGTCCTATTAAATCTAAAGGAGTTAAAAATCGTGTACATCATCACACGAACCGAGAGTTCTTACTCCAAAGCATGTCCATAAGTAAATTAAATTGATTAAAAATTACTAAAAAGCCATATCATTCAATGAAATGCAATACGCAATATTCGCAAAATGAAGAATATAGCCCAAATGTTTCAAGGAGCACTGAAAAAAGCTACTACTTATCTTAGGAATTCAAAATTCAGGGAGGATAATTCGCAGTCATTCGTTTAGTTGGGTAAATGGCTTTCAGGCTTTTATGCGGTCTTATAGCATGCAGTCCTTCTTGAAGACCACTGTCCTTCCAATATTGATAGTGAGTTCCTCTACTTCAGCCAAGGTCTTTTAGTTACTATCATAGCCTCGTATACTACATGCGTTTATCCACAGATGAGTCTTGGTCACAAATGGGCCGTTAGCTTCCTGGCAGAGGGAATCCCATCTGAGAAGAAGAAGACTCGATCGCTGGGACAATATGTTTTTTATCGCCTGACGTTTCGACATCTGTCGCGGATTCATCATCAGAGACATGAACAGTAACAGAAACGGGTAATGCATGCACAGATGTTTGCAGTATTTATAAGATG